GCGGCGGCGGCGGCGGCGGCGGCGGCGGAGGCGGGCGGGCGGGCGGCCGGGGGGGCGGGCCAGGGGCGGGCCGAGGATGGGGTTACCTGGGCGGGCCCAGCGGCCCGGGACACCCCCCGGGGGCGGGCCGGAGCGACCGCGGCAGCGGCCGCCCTGGCCCGCGGGACTGGGCTTCTCCGGGGGCCTCCCCGGCCGGGCGCCCGGGAGGACTCAGGGCCGGAGCCCGCTCCAGGCACGCCTGGCTGCGCGCCGCCTAGCGCGGCCGGGCTAGAGTCGCGGCCACCCAGCTGCCCGGTCCCAGCCCGGGCCTTGGGGACAGGCGGGCACAGCTCCCCCAGCCCGCCGCTTCGGGCACTGCAGCACCGCCCTTGTTGCCCCGCCTCGCCCCCCGCCGGCGCCTCGAAGCCCGACCCCCGCCCGGCCGAGGCGGACCCACCCGAGAGCGGCTGCCGCTTCGCGCGCACCCAGCCGCTTGCGCTCCGGGAGCCCGGGGCTGCGCACCCGGTAGTCCCGAGCCACCCGGTCGCCCCCCGCCAGGCCCCTCCCTGCCTCCCGGCCGGCTCGTCTTCTGGCCCAGCCTTTCCTTGGCGCTCACCTCCCTCCAGCCTTCCGGGAGCTGGACCCGGCCTCCCGAGCTTTGGTCAGCTTGGGACAGTGGCCGGAGCCTGCGGGAATCCGAAACCTCGTTTCTGGCTAGCCTCAAGCTCTGGGTGCGCTCTAAGCCGCAAGGTCTTGACCAAGCCCCTTACATCTCTGGGCCTCTGTTTTCTCATCCAGGAAATGGATGTAAGAGCTGGAGATTGCAAGGATAGAAGGAGCTTAGGAAAGATCTCTTTTGGGCACCCTCACCAAATCTTGCTTTGCGTGTTGGTTTTCTGTGCGCTTGTTCTGTTTATCCTCCCATATTTGCCAGATTCGGAGAGCTCAGTGCCTTGCACAGCAGGTGTGACTGCCGTGTTTGTGGGATGAATGAATGAAGTGGCATGGGGCTGTGACGGTACCTCCCTAGGGCAGAGTGCTCAGTTCCACACCATGGTGCCTGGTAAGCCTTATTTGCCCATTCCCAGCTCATGGTCTCTCCAGGTCCTGGATTTGACTCTGTGTCTCTCAGTTACTCAGGGCTGGAAGGACTTCTTGTCTAAATGGGAAAACCAAGGCCCAGGCAGGGGCAAGGAAGGGCCCCACCTCCCTAGAGGTTGGGAACAGACCAGGCCTCTGCCCTCACCTCTCACCCTGTGCTCTTCCCTGTTTAGGAACATGAGGTTTGCTCCCATGTGGATGGTCGCGGTTGGGTGCTGGGACGGTGCCCTTCCCTCTGTGGAGTCTCTGGGGGCTCAGCACAGAAGGAGGGCTCAGTAAACATTTGGTGTTGAGAGTAGGCAGAAGGTGGTGGGGCTGAACAAGAGTACAGATGGAGGCTCGCGTACCATATGTCTAAATATTTGCAATTTATAAATCAAGCTAACAAAATGTGAAATAAAATATGTTCTAGTTTCTTACCTTGACAAGTACACTTTCACAGCAACCAGGAAGGCCAGCTTTGAATGTAGAATTCTCAGACTATCGGACCCTGTGCAGAGCCTGGTGGTGCAGGAAGAGGAGACCCCTTCTTTCCCACATCTGCCTAGGGCCTGCCCTGCACATGTGAGCCTCTTAGCCAGTACGTGCAAGCCCGTCCGCACCTCCTTTCCCCTTGGAGAGCTGTGTCTTGGCCATCCCTCAGGCCCAGAACTGGGCATGCCTGTGGTATGGATCTGCAGAAGAGACCCAGCCATGTGGGCTTAGGGAATCTGTCTGGGCAGGGAATCTCCGGGGCCTGGGGACCTAGAGAGTGATCTAGAGAAGGGGGGGCATGGGCTCCACGTGGACACAACCTTTTGGCTTTGTGTTCTCCTCTCTCTGTGATGAGAGCTTGGCCGGAGAACTAGAGCTCAGCACCCCCAGGGAATAAATTTATTTATTTATTTATTTATTTTTAAAGATTTTATTTATTTATTTGAGAGAGAGTGAGAGAGAGCATGAGCGAGGAGAAGGTCAGAGAGAGAAGCAGACTCCTCGTGGAGCCGGGAGTCCGATGCGGGACTCGATCCCAGGACTCCAGGATCATGACCTGAGCCAAAGGCAGTTGTCCAACCAACTGAGCCACCCAGGCGTCCCTATTTATTTATTTATTTGACAGAGAGAGACATCACAAGTAGGCAGAGAGGCAGGCAGGGGGTGGCAGAGAGCCTGATGTGGGGCTCGATCCCACGACCCTGAGATCATGACCTGAGCTGAAGGCAGAGGCTTAACCCACTGAGCCACCCAGGCACCCCAAGAAATTTTTTTAAAAAGATTTATTTATTTATTTTTTGGAAGAGAGAGAGCACAAGCGGGAGGAGCAGAGGGCGAGGGAGAGAGAATCCAAAGCAGACTCCGTGCTGAGCCCAGAGCCCAACACAGAGCTCGATCTCATGACCCTGAGATCACCACCTGAGCTGAAACCAGAAGTCGGATGCTTAACCTACTGCATCATCCAGGCGTCCCCCAAGCCAGGACATTTTTTAGAGCGCTCGGGACTCTAACTAGAAGATTTGCTCGTTGTCAGGCTTAAAGCAGGACAGTGTCCAGCAAACTCAGATGCCTTGTTCTGCTAAAAGATTGAGTCCTCATACGCCAGGCGTCGTTCAAAGAGCTTTACGTGGTGTCACTAGCTCAATCCTCAACAGTGAATCTAGGAAGTAGGTACTGTTATGTTCCCATTTTACAGGTGAGGAAAGGAAGGTTAGAGAAGTAAATCACCTGCCCAAGGAAAGGGGTGGGCCCAGGACTCCAGAGCCATGTCGTGTGCCTGGACTCAGGGCTTTGGGCTCGAACCTCTGTCCCACAGCATGTGCCACCGACCTTGGAGGGAGCTGCTGGGCCTCTTGGGTCTGTATCTGTCAGGCGGGGACAACGTTACCTGACTCACTTGTCCTGGGGCTGCTGGGAGACACACGGAGTAGGAAGAGTCCTATGAGCTAGAAAGAGCAGAGCAGGGGAGGGAGGGGAACTGAGGCCCAGGGCCAGGAAGGTCCGCCCTGATTGCGATAAGGGAGAGGTGGAGTCCTCTGGTCTGAGTCAGTGGAAAGTCTTAATGGGAAAGTGTCTTTGAGGAAATGCTCCTCAAACTTTCAAGAACAGTCCAATTGTGACGATTTACATACAGATTAATGAGAAAGTTCATTCATCAATAGCTCTTTCTTAAATAATCGGACACGATGTTAAGAGTGAATGTGTGTCTAGTGCTTCTGATGCCCCGGCCACCCAACCAGAGGCTTTGCTTGTATTACCGCCTTTAATTCTGGCCACAGCCTTGGAAGTAGAAACTGTTAATCCCATTTATAGGTGGTGAAACCGGGGTAGCAGGCAGGCGGGGGGGTGGGGCGGGGGCTGCTCTAAGGTGCTTTAAGATGCATCAGCAATCCTAGGACATAGGCACTCTAATGTTACGTCTGGAGAAACTGAGGCACGGGGGGATCAAATGGGTTGCCTACAGCCATGCAGTTAGGAACTGGCACAGCGAGGGTGTGAACACAGGTGGTCTGGGTGCTGAATTACCCGCTACCCTGTTCTTCCACGTGTAAGGATTGATGTCTGGGTCCAGAAGGGGAAGGTCATAAAGTTTCTCTACATTCCTCCTGGAAGTTGCCATCAGTTCTCAAGGGTTGAGATGGGGCCGCTGCTCTGTATCTCCTCTCTGTGCCCAGTGCCTTGAGTGCCTTATACAAACTGGAATTTGAATACCTTCTGGTTGTTTTCTTTTCTTTGATCGAAGAAAACAAGCCTTTAATTTTCTAAGTGTCCCATTTTGTGGAGTGAGTTATCCTTCCTTACTAGAAAGTTCACCAAGGAAGGGAAACCTGGCCAAGTTTCTAATCAGAAAGAATCACATACAGCATGTCTTAATTATCGCCAGTTCTTGGTGAATGGGTCCAAAGCCATGTGGTTGGCTGTTCTCCAGCCAGTCTTAGGAGAACCCAGTAACAGAGTGTTTGGTCAGTGGGGGTCTGGGATTTCCAGTCCAGCTTCCCAGATTTTTAGGTGAAGAAACTGAGGACTTAGGCTTGGGATCTAGAACCTTCTTAAGCCTATACATGCATTGTTCAGGGAGATAAAAAGCCATGGGCTCCTCTCCTGCCTCCATGGCCTGCCCCATCTCGGGCTTGGCTGAATGGATCTGCACAGCCATCCCCTCTGAGCCGTCCACCTGGTGCCCTGACCAAGAAGGGACAGGAAACTCGATCATTCTCAGCCAGCCACACACTTCTGTGTGGCTGGGCAGCTCCCAGCCCTTCTCTGGGGCTGTCGTTTGCTTCCTGAATTCCTTTCTAGGAATTTAGAAAGCGGGTAAAGGGGAATGTCAGGTCCTCGGGAAGCCTATGTTTCCAGTGCTGCCAGATCTCTTCCTCAAGCTGACCCTCAGCTGCTTCATCCGTGCAATGGGACTCATAAGAGAGACCGCGAGGACTCGACAGG